AGAGAGAAGAAAAGTGAGAATATACTCCCTAGGGAGGACAACCATGTCACAATCTCTTCTCCTTCATTTTTCTTTCAGGAGTTTGGGCATGCATGCACATATGCCTGGAGTGTTTTTCAAGCCACCAGGTCCAGGACTATAACCAGAAAGTCAGCTATGTGGGATCCAGCTTTAACCACCATGCCACTAGCAGCCCCGTTTGTTATTTTTAATGTCAGCATTTATGTGATGAGATTTAGTATACTATTTGTGCTAATATATCACTTTAATTGTAATAATGAAGCAGTGCCCTAATCAATTAATGTGACTCTGTCTAACACCCTTAGAGAAAAAGGACACACACACACACACACACACACACACACACACACACATATATATATATATATTTTTTAATTTGCCAGAGGAGGGTCAGCCAGTGGTGTGGTTATGGTTAAGGCAGCTGGATCCTACGTGGCTACCTGTGTAGTTCTAGTACCAGACCCAGTGGTACTGAGAAAAATATGCCAGGCACATATATGTACGTGTCCCAAATCCTGAGAGGTGAATGGAGAAGAAGGGATTGTGGAGTGTTTTTCTCTCTTGGGGGTGCTTTCTTACTCTCCCTACCCCTGTCTCTGGCAAGCACACAAAACCTGTATCAAAACTAAAGAAAAGAAAAAAAATTTCTCTCAGGATGAGTATAGTTTTCTCAAAGAGTGAACGAGAGAGAGAGAGAGAGAGAGAGAGAGGCAGAGAGAAAGTGAGAAAGCACTCCTGTCTCCATCATGGGAACGGCCACACCATGATTCCTTCTCAGACATTTCTCCCTTCTTTTGGGATTCTGGGTATTCGTGCGCCTGTACCCAGTTTGTCTCAAGTTGCCGGGTCTGAGAATCAAACTGCGTGGTGGCCATGTGGGATCCTGCCCCCTTAACCACCAGGCTAGATGACCCAGAAGGAAGCTTCTTAAATAATTACATTTGTACAGCCATGGTGACCTGGGAAAGGGACAATTCCCTTCTAAGACTGACTTCTCAGAGCAAAGCACAGTCAAAATAATTTCTAAGCACCCTCCCAACTGCAGTCCCCCCTGTGAAGTCTGCAGATTCTGATTGATGATGTCACTGGAACAAAAGAGAAAATGCCGAACAGGTACCCTTCACTCAGCTTCCTGGTGAGACCAGCTGCACTCTGGCCATGGCTTTGCAGAACTCTCTGGAAGCAGTGTGGCTGGGGCTTTTCCTCAGTCCTTTCTGGAAGGGTGAGTAGGTGCCTTCATGATCTGGTTTTGAAAAAAAGAACACTATTGTTTTAATATCCAAACTCATGTTTTCAACTGAAAAACGAAGAATGCCAATGGATTTAACACTCACTGTACCTAGGGGGCTATCAGCAAACCAAATAGCAGCATCAAAGTGACAACTTTCTTTGTTTCCTGCAGTTGCAGAGAGCAAGGACCAAGTGTTTCAGCCTTCTACCATGGCATCTTCCGAGGGAGCTGTGGTGGAAATCTCCTGCAATCACTCTGTGTCCAACGCTTACACCTTCTTCTGGTACCTACACTTCCCGGGATGTGCGCCAAGACTCCTCGTGAAGGGCACTAGACCTGCTCAGCAGGGACGGTACAACATGACATACGAACGATTCTCTTCATCATTGCTCATCCACCAGGTGCAGGTGGCAGATGCTGCTGTTTATTACTGTGCTCTGGAGGACACAGAGGCAGGGAGCCCACAAAGAGCTGAGCAGAAACAGAGAGAGATTACGACCTTTGCAGGAGGCAGAAAAGAGATCAGCAATAACTTCTCCTACTCTCTTCCCCCCAATTCAGCATTCCCTGTTCCATTTGACTCTGCTATTTGGAAAAAGATTGAGTTCACACTTACTCTATATTAGCAAATATAGTGTGTATATGGTATACATTAATATTTGCTAATATATAATACATCACAGTAGACATACTCTATATTAGTAAATTATTACCATTTTGATCATGAATCACTTCTTAAAATTAGGAATTCCTATACTCATATTTCAAATAGTCTTCTTGGTATTTGAAATACTTTTGACTCATGTTTTGGAGATCTGATTAGATAATTATTTCTCCTCATAAAGTGGCTGTTGATGAATTCCTGATAGGAGTGAGGGGCATGCCAACTCTTCCATTTCCTCACTGCTCTCCATGCTTGCATTTTAAGTATTATTACGTGCTTCAGTTTCTTTGCAGGCAGAAATATTTTCAAAGCATGAGTCCGTTTGGTAGAGAGTAACAATTAGTTAACATTAGGTATTTAATAAGAAGCAGAAAGGGAATAAGTGAGTGGGTGGCTGCTACCAACAGTTCTGCGTTTGGAACCACGATCCTCCTCCCAGTGTACCTTGCTTATAATGTGCATACAGACCCATTGAGGATGTCAGTGTCAGTCAATATACAAAATACTAGTAAAACGGAATATCCTTCCTAATTTTTAAACCGAACACAAATACAAGTGGAAGTATTTGTTCTATATTCTTCCCATAGTCTTACTAATTTTCTCAGTCTTCTCACCTTAGATGTGCCCCTCCCACTTTGGAGACCAATAAATACCCTGGGTAGACCCTTGGTTCCTAACACTTTTTGTCTTCCCAAATCAGGAGTCTTCTGAAAAATGGATTTTTTTTTTTTTTGGGCTATGTTCCAGATCAACTAAATGGAGCTTGCTGAGGTGGGACCCAGAAGTCTTTATTTTCCATAAAGTTCTCAGTGATGAGTCTTCTGCACAACCAGGTTTGTTCTGGGAATGCCAGTTCCCAGACCCTGGATCTTGAGGCTTTAATCATTATTATGTATTTGCTTTTACTTAGAATTGTTGTAATAGACGAGGATTTCAGGAAGTGAACCTTAAGTTCCAGGGCTTGCCTACATAATAGACTTTCAGTGGATGTTTACATTTGAAGCAAAAGTGGAAGACAGATTTCTGACAACAGAAAAGAGTGTTCTAATAATATTAAATGTTATAAGGCTTTATCAAGATAAAGCTACTTAAATAGATTGACTCTTTTTTTTTTTTTTTTTCCTGAGAGGTTTTTGCTATGGAGTGTGTGCACTCGCCAGAAAAGAAACAAAAAGCAAGAAATCACTCCCTAGGGGGGATGGCCATGCCACAATCCCTTCTCCTCTGTTCTCCTCTTGGGATCTTAGGCACGCATGCACATGGACTCAGTGTAAGTTTAAGCCACCGGGTCCAGGACTTGAACCATGGTTGACTACATGGGAGTCCAGCGACATAGCCATTACACCAACTGCTGGTCCCAATAGATTGACTCTTAACTCAAGTTTTTAATGATATTCAAATATTTCCATTGGATTATCAATATAAATTGGTGGGTCAGTCAGTGGCATGGTAGTTAAAGCAGCTGGATCCCACATGGCTGACTGTGTGGTTTGAGACCTGGTGGCTTGAAACATACTCTGGGCACATGTGTGTGGTACCCAAAATCCCAACAGAAGAATGGAGAAGAAAGGATTGCAGCATGGTCATCTCCCTTGGGAGGGTGCTTTCTCACTTTCCCTTTATCTCTGTCTGTCTCTCTCCAGTGAGTATACACATGCCCTATACCAACTAAAAACAAAATAATAAATTGGCATGTTCATACTACTTCTTCCCCCCAACCCTCAGCCTTTCCTTCCTTGTCTTTTATAATCTAGACTTTTTTAAATTTTTTTTTTATTTTTTTTAAAGACAGGATCTTGCCACGTTGAGATCTTCCTGACTCAACCTTCCACCAAGTGATGTCTATCTCTGGTCTAGAGAATTCTGTAGCAAGAAGACCTGATCAAGCAGAATATTTTAGGAAGAAATAAGGACTGTGCAATACAAATTGTACTAGTTTCCTAGGGTTGTCATAACAAAGTACCAAAAACTGGTAGCTTACAACAATGCAATATCTATTTCTATGTGAAAGAACATTGCATACCCCATAGGATACATGGAAAGGTATTCCAAGAACTTCTTGACCATTGATAGCAGTTCTGCTTCATTGACAGCAGTAAGACATAAAGGGAAGGTGACAATGAAATGCTTTGAATTCTAGGACTCATGTAGCTTTATTCTTCATAAAGAGTAATAAGAGAAAAGATCATGTAACTGAAAACCATGCCTTTGAAGTTTGGGTAAATGGATTGCAGAAAACATACTGACCAATGATATGCTAGTTGAGACCAGGCTATGAAGGCAACATTGAAGCAGCGTTGTGGTAGGCTCAGGTCCCATAGCTCATCACACACTGTGCTGGTACACAGTGGTTAAAGGAATTGGGTCCCACATGGCAGACTGTAGTTCAAATCCCAGCCCTGGAGGCTTGAAAAACTTGCTGGGATCATGTACATGGATACCCAAAATTCCAATAGGATGGAAGAATGGAGAAAGAGTTGCAGCATGACCATGCCCCATGGAAGGGTGCTTTTTCTCTCTTTCTCTGTCTCTCCATTGCTCTCTCTCTCTCACACACACATATACATACATGCCTTCTGGCAATAAAAAAATTTTTTTTTTTTAAAAGATTATCTATGGAGAAAAATGAGTTTTTCTCGCTTTCTGTCTCTCTCTGTCTGTCTTTCTGGCGAGCGCACACGCCCTGAACCCTCCAAAAAAAAAAAAAAAAAAAAAAAGAAAGAAAGTAGAAGATAAAAAATGTAACCAAGGCACTAAAATCTAAAATCTACACTGGTTTATTATTTAATATTTAATTTGACATAAGTACTTGGAGCCTCAGAACAAAGCTCTTTCACATTGCTCTGGGTCACATCTTGTTGTCCCGGTGCTGTAATGAGCATGTTTCAGCATTTGAGGAGCATCCCTCATTGGTCCATGCATCTAATGTCTGACTGACCCCCATAGACTTCACTGCACCCAGTTTACAATGGTTTAGAGAAATTGTTCATGTCATCTTCCTGTAGGCTTCATGATTATATCACTGAAAATTGGAGAGTTGGGCAGAATATTCCGAATGCGTTCCAAACTAGGCGCATGTACTGAGTTGATAAGAAAAAAAGGGTAGCATTCATTAAAATAGTTGTAGATAAATTTATACTGTCATAGACATGGACTTGCAGTGTAGGAGGAGGTAAATGTCCTTTGTTCGTAGTGGTTTAGAGGTAATTAACCTGGGGCTATTTCAGCTGAGATTCACACACATGTGGGATCAGTGTTTGGTATAATAAACTTACTTGATAAGATGACTTCCAAAGTTCTACCAACCCATACAAGTCTATGATTGTATAAGGTTATTATTACTTCTGACAAGGGAACTTCTTTCCAAAATTATGTATTTAAAAAAGTAAATGCCTTTCTCACTCTAGGCTGCACAGAGTCTGCTCATGGACCTCTGAGACCTGAAAGTTGAGAACTTTTGTGTTCAGGAGTCTGTGCCCTGCGGCTCTGTGGCTGTCACCATGCCACAAAACGAATACATGGAATTACATTGTAAACTCTGTGGATATTATTTGGGTCACCATGAGAAAAAGGGAAAGAAGGAAAGTCATGAGGCTTATAAACTTTCAAATAAGGCAAAAAAAGATGATTGGAGGGGCTAGCTGGTGGCATGATTAAGGCGCTGGACTCCACATGGCTGACTATAGTTCAAGTCCCAGACCTGGCAGCTTGCTTTCTTACTTTCCCTCTCTTTCTCTCTTCTCTGGGTGCATGTGCCTTATAGCAAGTTAAAAAAAAGTCAAATACATAAATAATTCTTTAGAAAAAAGATGACTGGTACAAAGGCTAAGTTCTATCATAAATAGTACCAAGCTGAGAAAATGCTAATGAAGAAAACTATGAAGATGCATGAAAAAGAGAAGCACCAAACAAAAGAATGATGAAAAGACTCCACAAGGAGTAGTACCTGCCTATCTGGTGGACAGAGAAAGACAGTCCTAAGCTAAAGTACTTTCCAATATGATTAAACAAAAATGGAAAGAGAAAGTGGGAAAAATGGAAAGTCTCCCTGCCCAAAGTTTAAGCCCAGGGAGAAACAGAAGTATTAAAAGATATTTGGATTGGAAAGAGAAAGAAAGCATGGCAGAAGATGATCATAAAAGTCTGCTTTGTTGGAGAAGGCTTTACTAGAAAAACCACCTAAATATGAAAGATTCATTAAACCAGTGGACTTACTTTTTAAGAAGGCCCACACACACATCCTGAACTGAAAACCACCTTTTGGCTGCTGATACTTGATGTATCTTGAAAAGAATTCCTTATCCTTTCTATACATAACCCTGGGTGTTATCACCAAAGGTACTGTCATTGAGGTGAACATGAGCAAATTGGGGCTTGAGACATCAGGAGGCAGGTTATTTTGTGGAATTATGCCCAAGTTACCAACAATCCTGAAAACGCTAGATGCTTAAATGCCATCTTAACTGGTTCAATAGCAGTTTTATACAAGTATGCATTTTTGAAGATGATATACCAATCTGGAAAATCACTGTGACTGCTGAATATTATCAAAGAGCCTTACATGTCTGTGGTCATCAAAAGATTATATACTAACTTGCACAAAAACGCTAAAGTGACCTGGTTTTACACACACACACACACACACACACACACACACACACATAATGAAATAATGTACAAAGTTGATGTTTTCAGTGAGTTACTGGGAAGAATGCCCTGGAAGTCAGAAAAATATGGGTTAAAAATCTTTGTTCTGTTTCTTTAGGGGTGACTTGTACAAATTTCTTGAACTTCCTGATCTCAAGTGTCTTCATTTCTATAATGGGAAGGTTAAGAGAAATAACATGGCAAGGAATGTTAAGGGCTTAAAATAATACTTACAGTATGCATTCCATGAATAGTTTCTTCATTAATCTCATAAACCAAAGTATGTAAGCAAAATAGTCATTGAGGCTAAGTTGT